ATTCTACTCCAATTAATTTGAAAAAATAAATTGTTTAGTGACTGATACTTTTGTTTTTCTTTTTTCAGACAGGGTCTTGCTCTGTTGCCTGGGCAAGAGTGCAGTGGCATCATCATATCTTATTGTAACCTTAAACTCCTAGGCTCAAGTGATCCTCCTTCCTTAGTTTCCCAAGTAGCTGGGGTGTACACCACCACACCTGGCTAAGTTTTCTATTTTGTTTTTTGTAGAGATAGGATCTTGCTATGTTGCCCAGGCTAGTCTCAAACTAGCTGCAAGTGATCTTCCTACATTGCCCTCCCAAAGTGCTAGAATCATAGGTGCTAAAATCATAAGTGCTAGAATCATAGCCTACTTTTTATTTATTTAACACATATATGACTGCTCTATATGGTTAGACATTATTTTTAAGTGCTTTACAGATATTGATTTATTCCTTTATTAGAACCACGTGTGACCTAGGTGTCATGTTTCATCGTGTATTACTTTGCAATATTCCCTATCTTCCCTACCTCAGTGAGCATATAATGTCAAAATACCAGTGTTTATAATTTACCTTGAAGTGTATTTTAATTTATTGCCTTTTTTCCTCTTGTCCTCTAAGAGTATTATGTCTAACAGTGCTTTGTGTACTTAATATTTTTTTAATTGTTTTAATAGGATTGTTAACTTTCTTCTCTGAATTTTTTACTCAGTTATGTCTAAATAATTAGTTTTTAGCTTTTCCTAGAGCCATTTCTCCATCAGTAAAAATAGATTTGGGGGCCTGTTAATTAACACTCGTCACACTTTCTTCTGAGTAATTGTGAGTAATTCTTTATTTTCTGGTTGCCGTGAATTGGGTAACAATCTTGCTCCACACAGCTGCAAGCTTGCTGATCTCTCTGCATCCTCTGTGACTCCAGTGCCTTACCTTCTCCTCCAGTTAGGTCTTTCTCTTGCTCTGAGCTCTTTAGGGCTTTGCAGGGTAAAGTCCAAAACTTTTATCATGGTCCATAAGGCTCTCTATAAACTGTCTCTGCCACACACAGTGTGGTATGGCGGTTGAGGTTTTGAGATTCAAGTTCTGGGCTACTTGCTAGCTGCATGACCTTGGAAGTAGTTCATCTCTCTTTGCCTCAGTTTACTCATCATTAAAATGGGAAAATAATAGTATCTACTCATAGGGTTTTTATAAGTGAGTTAATGCCTACAAAGGGCCCAGAACAGTGCCTGGTATATGGAAACACTTAGGAAATAAGTGCTTTAATACTTTCTCTCTCATCTCTGCCTCCCCAACCTCTCACCAACTCCCTTTCTTTCCACTCCTGCAGCGGAAGGACGTTTACACATGCTCTCCCTGCTGGGGCTGCCCAGTTCTTTCTTCCATTCTTCACCTAATTCATTCCTACTTATTTTCCCCAGCTTTTGATAAGTGTCACTTCTCAGATGTCACTTCTCTGACTCTCAGTGCAATTCGAATCCCCTGTGATAGTCGCTCATCACAGAATCCACTTGCCTTTGAAGGCCCTGCCACCATTTATGATTCTCTGCTTATTGGTGTGATTACAGGAGGCTCAGAGCCGTGACACTGGGCACTGTTTCCGTACTGTTTGCTCTGTCACTCGCCAGTGGCTAGCCTGGGCTGCGTGCAGTGCCTTAACACCTGTCTGCTCATGACAGGCACTTGGGAGTCTCTCACTAATGCATTTTTAGTGTCGGCTTTATTCCTCGCTTGTTTTTTAAGTGTCCTTCCTTGTGATTTCTCCTTCTTTTCTTCTTTCTTTTTACTTAAATAACTTATTTCTCTCCTAGTCTCTTTGCAAGAGGAATACGTCCTCATTCTAGAAAATGCCTCACGCTTGATTTGTTTAATCGGGTCTTGGTGTTTTTTGGTTTTTTTTTCCCCCCACTGTGAGCTATCAAAAGCTTTTGGGGAACAAGCTAGAGGGGGAAATAGATCCATATAAATAAATAACAAAATAAAACAGGTAGGCGTTTAGCTACTTAAACACTTGTCTGTTACTGAAATTACATTTCCTTAGCTATTTAGTTTGCACAGTGCAGACAAAAAGTTGTTCCAGCAGCTGGCATCAGATGTGGGGAAGGACACAGGCAAGCTGCTATTTTTACCTTTTACAGGGCAACGTGAGCCGCTCAGGAAGTGAGGAGGTCATTCTCTTTATGCTAGTATCTTTTATGGATTTTGCACAAATAAATATTTTTTTTACCCAGTAGAAACCAATGACAACTAAAATAACAAGACAAAGAATTCCAGCTGTAAGTGGACATTTAAAAAGTGCTAATTTGGAGAGAAAACTAATCATGGAGCACAGGGAGCAGTATCGAATACATACGTACATTGCTCAGAGAGGCATTTGCTGGTTCACTCCAATGACCAAAAGATTTATTGGCTTTCTCAACTCGACCCTGCCCTCTGAGAGGTCAGCAGAGTTTCAATTAATAGTTCTAGTGATTCTCACTTGAAAAGAGGAAGCAGAGTTCCTGTACCCCCCAATCTAAACTAGTCCCTATTGAACTGTGGAGAGAGATGAAATTCCCATTCCTAATCTCACCAAATCCACAGGTAGCCCATTAAAACCAAACTCTCGCTCAGCATTCACTGTTCATACCAACAGCTTTTGGCTTCAGATATTAAGACTCTCATGGGCTGCTAAAAAATGTGCATGTGTCACTTCTTAGATTGCCACTTCCTGGCTTTGAAACAATGCTGAATTTGCAATCATCTTTCAAAGGCCCAAACTAAACACTGTGTTCCTAATGTTGACAAAGGCATTTGGATTTGCATTCAAACAGCTTCATCTACCAAGAGAGGTGAAGGAAAGTTCTCTAGGACGTGACAAATTTGGAGACTCATTTCCTGTATTTAATATTTCTTAAATAAAATGAGAGATGTGATTGATGCAAATGAGCATCTAAGTTTATAAAGAGATGACTTTGTGAATGTAAAAGTAATAGTCAATTGGTATGTAATTTTCTTTGTTTCTTTTTTGAGTATTATTTATTAAGGTGATATCCACTCAGGCCACTGTGGCTTCTAAGGTCGGTGAAAAGGTTTCTAAGGTCATGACTTCTGGCATTTACCTATAAATGATCCATACCACAAGTGTGATGTTTTGTCAAGAATGTAGATGATCTTGTTAGTTTATAAAAATGCTCGATTCACATTTAACATTTTAAAATAACTAGTTAATGGCATAAAAGAAAACCAAGTTGATTGTGTCCTATTAAAAAAAAAACTTATATTTGTAGTAATCAAGCATTTTATTAGTCATTAATCATAATTTATTTATTTTAAAATGTTTTTACTTTCAGCTGAATGTGATCCAACAAATTTTTATTGACTTTGTCCCTTTGACCTTTAGAGCTATTCGGTTTAATGACTCCCTGTAAATTAAGTCTTATCAGGTAATGCGGCAGCTCAGCATGTTCACTCAGTAAACTTTGACAAGGCCTGATAAATTCTTAGCAACAAAAACGGGGTCTTTAAGTGGATAAATATTTGAAAACGAACGTGCTATGCCTTTCGTGTATGAAAACAATTCCATCAACACTGTTTGTTGGTCTTGAGATTTGAGGGTCCCTTCATCATCTCAATTTTGACACCCTTGTATATACACACGCACACATACATAAACACACACACGTGCAATGCAATGGTGACAAGATGACTGGTGTGTTGACCAGGTAGAGTTTCATGGCCAAACAAAAGAGATGCTTTAGACTAGCCAATCCTACTGACTGCTTCGAAAACCTCTGGGAAAGAACAGCTTGGAAATCTTGGATTCAGTGTTACTCTTTACCATGAATCTCTAGTGGTCAAACAGATTCCCTCTTAGGTTAGTAATTCCCCTGAGCCTCTGCTTTGTCTTATAAAAGGACAAGGTTGGACTGGGGAACTTCTAGATTCATTTACCTTTATGATATTCATATATTTTATAGTTAGCTCATGATATATTGCCTCTAGACAGGTAATAGCAGCCATAAAGTCAAGAGTTTATCAATGAGACTCAAACAATCTGAGTGTAAATTCCAGCTTTGCCCTGTTACTGTGTATTTTGGGTGTCTTTTAACCTCTCGGGCCCCAGTTTCCACATTTGTACAATGGGACAGTAATCCCTAATTCTCAACTTTGTCCTGAGGATGAAATAAGGTAACGTGTGAAAGTGCTTACTTAGCTCCGTAACCAATGATGGCTGTTACTATGAACTGGTAAAAATGACTTAAGACCCACATCCAGGAAAATCCCAAGACACCAAAAGCCTTCTTCATCTCTGCATTTTTTCAGTGTGCAACCTCATTGTTATCTTGAAGTTCCCTGTGGACAATAGGCCTCAAATAAGAGAACCCTTAGTGTTAGGGTGGGAACTCATAGCATGGGCTGAGAAAGAATTCTCGACACAAAGATTAGAATAGTTTATTTTACTTCCCAAAGGGAGGGAAGGGCACGACACAAGAGAAAAAAAAGGAAAAATGCTAGCAGAGACGGTAACGGGTTTAGGGTTTTTATTGAGGGTAAAAGGAGAAGGAAAAAAAAGAATAGTTATTGTTGTCACTTGATAACAGAAGACAACTATAAAAGTACATTTGTTTTCCTTTTTTCTTTTTTTCCTCTTTTCTATGAGGCTGGCTTTTCAGGGTCTTTGAAATATGGTCTGATGAGAGAGCTCACACGCCTGTTGTCTGTTTGAAAACTCTTTACGTGCTACTAAAACAAACTCTCGACTAAAACAATTTAAACCACAAGTGGTTAATCGAACAAAGAGCCAGTTGTACACTGTGAGTTTTCTCTTCAAAGGGACAATTATGTGTTTTGAGTTTACTCCGCTTTTTTTTTTTTTGTTGTTGTTGTTAGTTAATTTTTCCATTAGATAGTTTATTAGCAATATCATCCTTTCACTTAGAACTTTATTTTTGAAGTTTAAATTTTAATATAATTTAAATTAAAATCGATGCATTCAAAACATGTAAATAAATGTAAATAAATCAATTTGTTGCAGGTATCAGAGATGGGGCCATCCCTACAACCTCTTTGCAGCAAATAAAAACGGTGACAGAACAAGTGAAGCCAAATGAAGAAAACCCTGCGTCTCCCCAGGCTGCAGGGACAACCCAGGTGTCCCGGCCACTGGGAGCCACAACACCGAGCCAGACGACTGTGCTGAGGGCACCCCGGGAGCCCTCCTTTCACTCGGGAATCCTGAAAACAATGTCTCAGCAGGACGTGCGGGCGGACATATTCCTGTGGAGCTTTCTGCTGTGGTCGGACACCATCGAGATGGTGCGTGTGGCCGGTCACCCCAGCGTGTACAAGTCAGGCTGGATATACCCAGTCTACATATTCAGTTTCATTTCCGTCCTTCGGATGATATTCACTCCCCAAAATCCTCTTCTCCATTCCGCGGGCGTCTTGCTGCAGGATTTACCCTTTGTCTTCGTTAGACTTAGTTTAATCATTGTCCTGGGGACGATCACACCCGTGCTGGGCCTTTGTAAAAACATACTGGTGACACTATCTTATGTTTATTTCAACCACCTAACCAGACTCAGGGTTTTCTCTACCTTTGAAATGTCTCCATTTTAAAGAGAAAATGGGATACAGGGTGACCTTTTTGTTATGCATCTGTGCACGTTTGTAATACTTTTTTTTTTCTGGGACATGAGTTTTTACACTATATAAAGAAATGAAGACTAGATTGTAGAGAATAAGTTATTCATGATGACTCTGGTGTACCATTTTTTTTTTTTACATATACAAATGGTGCTAAATTTAAACAATGTTATATTCTTATGAGTTGGCTCTCAGGGATGTCTAGAACATGTTAGTAGTTAATTTTAGTTTTGTTATATATACTGCACTTTTTTCTAAAAACACTTTTCAATAAAGCCTTTTTAAAAAAATGAGAAGATATTTCCCCACTGTTAGCCCAAGAATGACATTTTTATCTTGTATATAAATTAAAGAGCATTCTATGAGTTGATGAATTAAAATTAGGTTGTAGGAAATGTATCTGAAGTTATTGAAGAATTTTTAGGTTATACTTTTTTAAAACTATGGAAATTGTGGTTTTAGGGTCTACTTCAAATATAGAATTATATTCTTTATGCCACTGAGGCAAGTGATTTTTATTCAATTGACTGATTTCAGCATCAAAAGCAATTCACTTGAGCAGATATTCAGCTCAGTTCAAGGCTTAGCTGCAGTACTAACTTAAAAGTTGTTTAGTATAATGAAGTCAAGGAACATCAGCAATACCTAGATAAAGTTTTGTAATAGAAAGCCATAAATTGCACACGTAGGTTTCAAAGTAAAAGGATATTTTCTTTGTGAAATTTGATACCATCATAAAAATCAACAAATACAAGTCCCGTTTAAAATGGGAAGTTCAACTTACAAATATAATAGCAAAAGCTTCAGTGTCTTAAGTGATATTGTATCAGGAAGATCTTGATGTTATAAAACAGGCGTCCTCAAACTACGGCCCACGGGGCACATGCTGCCCACCTAGGAATCTTACCCGGCCCGCCGGGTGTTTCTGCCGCCGCTGCCTGTCCTGCTTAGCAGCCGACACGTCCCGGGCCCACAGTGCGCACTTTCCAACGGTCTGAGGGACAGTGAACTGGCCCCCTGTTTAAAAAGTTTGAGGACCCCTGTTATAAAATAATTAGATACAAAATCATATCATTTGCCTTTACCATGTTTGGACACTCTGATATTTATGGTGGGATCTTTCCATTGGTTATACCAATTTTGAGATGCTGGAGAGATTTGTGAGAGGCTTATGTAGGAAAAGTAATGATTTTAAATAGCCAGTCTCTCCAATGATATTACTTGTTTGAGTTTATAATGCATTTTGTATATAATATTTGAACATGAATGTGCCTGATATTTTGGGAAGTGGCAACACTTTATGCAAATAATGAAGGCATTTACAGAAGATCACATGGAGGAAAATTGAGCACCTAATTTTATTTAATATTTTAAGAGTGTACACATGTTTATAGAGTTCAAGTTTATAGTATTTGATAGAAATTATAGCAAATTATGCTGATAAAAACATTGATAGTTCTATACTGTGATTAAAAGTTATGTTATTACAATTATTAATATATTGCAGTTCTTATAAGCTTCTAATTGTTGCTAGTTAAAGCCCATATACATTTTATGTCCTAATAAAAAATTTACTTTCCTGCTATATGAAATATATTAATACTTATAGCAAATGGCAGTATTTGTAATAGGCTATATGATATTTTTTCCAAGTAAAATTTGGAGCCCAGATGATAATTATGTCTTTATGAAATGTCAAGCTCAAATAAAGTTCGTTGTAGGAAAGATACATTAAAAATTCATCTATGATCAAACTATTATATAGTCTAATCATTTTTATATAATTATAATTTTAATAAAATCTTTAAAAAATTCTAATATCCTTAATAGACTTTTTAGTCCTTTTTCTTTCTACAAGTTAATGTCTGATACTATAACATGTGAAACCATGCCAAACCAAACCAAACCAAACTAAACAAAACATTGGTTCTAGAACTCTAAAGTTTACAGGGTCTTCAAATAATCTGTGTACATATAATATAGATTACAATAAATGTAAATCAACTATCTGAAGACAATTACAATTAAAGCCAAATTTTATATATATAATCTAATACAAAGAAATTTGATGCTGTAATGTAATTGTTTTCTATTAAACTGAAAATGGATTATTGATGTTTTGCTATATTTTGGTAAGGATTGCAAAAGGTGATGAATCAGAACGTAAAACATAGTGTTCCATCTTCTAAAGTTTTACAATTTTGACTTAACTACTTCATTATATATTCTTTTTTTCTTCTGGCTGAGTAGGAATTATCTTGGTGACATTTGTGTAAATGTATCCATTAAAATAGGCTTACTGGAGAAAAAAACCAAATAAATTTCTGAATGGGTTATAGTTTTATCTGTGAGAAATGATATAACAGGTTACCAAAGCATTTGTTGAGCAATTTTTTTGAAACTATTTCAGTGCAAAGCAGACGCTACGTTCCTGTTATATGAAATTGAGTAGGTATGAAGCAACTGATGTTTGAGAAAGACTTTTCTAGGAAGAAATGAAATAGTTCGGCAATTGTCTCACCAGTGAACAATGAAAATATTTTTAATATTTTAGCTTGAAGAAAGGGCTAGTTAAAAACAACCACCATCATCAATAGCTAACCAGAAACTAAAACCAAAACTTAGTAGAAGGGTATGAGGAAGGTGGCAAGAGTTGGATTTTTAAAAAATTGTGGTAAAATGTACATAACAAAATTTATCATATTTTTAACTGTCCGATTCAGTGGCTTTAAATATATTCACCATGTTGTGTAACTATCATCACTTTCTATTTCCAGAACATTTCATCATCCAAATTAGAAGCTCTGTACCCATTAAACCTGTACCCAAATTACTCTTCATTGTCTCCCAGCCCTTACCTCCCCAGCCCAGCACTGATAAGGTCTCTTCTGTCTCTATGAATTTGCCTACTCTATGTACCTCATATAGGTGGAATAACAATACTTGTCCATTTGTGTTTGACTTATTTCACTGTATATATTACATTTTGTTTTTTCATCTGCTAAACAGACACCTGAGTTGCTTCTGCTCTTTGGCTATTGTAAATAATAGTTTGAAAATTAGTGTACAAGTATCTACTCAAGGCCTTGTTTTCAGTTTTCTTTGGGTTATATACCTAGAAGGAGAATTGCTGGATCATATGATAGTTCTATGTTTAAATTTGTGAGGAACTGCCAAACTGTTTTCCACACTGGCTACCTCATCTTACATCACCACTGGCAATGCCCAAGGGTTCCAATTTCTCCACATTTTCCTCAATGCTTGTTATAGTCTATTTTTTGATAGTAGCCATCCTTTTGAGTGTGAAATGACATCTCATTGTAATTTTGACTTGCATTTCCCTAATGACTAATGAGTATCTTTAGTTGTGCTTATTGGTCATTTGTTTATCTTCTTTGGAGAAATGCCTATTCAGGTCCACTGACTATGTTTTAATTGGTTTTATTATTGTGGTTGTTGAGTTGTAGTTCTTTATATATTCTGGATATTAATCCCTTACAGATATATGATTTACAAATATTTTCCCCTATTTTGTGTGTTGTCTTTTTACTCTCTAGATAGTATCTTTTGATGAATAAAAGTTTTTAATTTTGATGAAGCCTTACTTGTTTTTTTTTCTTTCATTACCTGGGCTTTTGATATCATATCTAAGAAATCCAATGTCAAGAAGATTTTTCCTAATGTTTTATTCTAAGAGTTTTATAGTTTTAGTTCTTACGTTTAGATCTCTGATCCATTTTGGGTTGATTTTTGTGTATGATGTAAGGTAAGAGCCCAACTTCATTCTTTTGCATGTGGATGGCCAGTTTTCCCAGCACCATTTGTTGAAAACATTGTCCTTTCCTCATTGAATGGTCTTAGCACCATTGTTGGAAACTAATTGATCATGTATGTGAGGGTTTATTTCTGGGCTTTCTATTCTATTCTATTGCTTGTATGTCTGTTGTTATGCTAGTCCCACACTGTTTAGCTTACTGTAATTTTGCAATAAATTTTGAAATCAGGAAGTATGATAAGTCCTCCAACTTTGTTCTTTTTTAAGATTGTTTTGTCTTGAGAGTCCATATAAACTTGGATGGGGTTTTCTATTTCTGCAAAAAAAAAAAAAAAAAATTGGAACTTTGATAGTGATTGCATAAATTTATAGATTGTTTTGGGTAATATTGTCATCTTAACAATATTAAATCTTGCATTCCATGCTCCCAGGACATCTCTCCATTTAGTTAGGTCTTCTTTAATTTCTTTCAGCAATGTTATGTAGTTTTCATTATACAAGTCTTCTGCCTATTACATTTATTTATAAGGATTTTATTCTTTTTGGTGTTACTATCAATGGAATTGCTTTTTAAATTTCCTTTTATCAAAACACAACTTATTTTTGTGTTTTGATTTTGTGTTCTACAACTTTCTTGAATTTATTAGCTCTGCAGTTCTTTTAGGGAAGCGTTAAGACTTTCTACATATAAAATTATGGCATCTGTTGATAGACATAATTTCACTTCTCTTCCAATTTGGATGCTTTTAATTTTTTTTTTCCTGCCTAATTGCCCTAGCTAGAACTTCCAGTACTATGTGAAGTGGTGGAAGCCATCAAAAGCACCCTTCAGAACATAGAATCCTGATATCTAAAGGACAAGGGCCTTGTTGCCCACCCTGGCTGTAGCAAGTCACAGCAGAAATGTGGACTGCTGCCCTTGTGGCTGTCTGACAGAGGCACGAGGGATGGAGAATGGTAACCACTGCCATATGTGAAAGGCTGAAATTCACTGAAATTTACCATCCGTTTTATCAAGCTCTCCCCTGAATGTTCCAAGTTTTTGATGAGACTCTATAGTTCCGATATATAGATTCTTGACTTAGGGTGATTGGACTTAAGAGTTCTTGACTTTATGATGATGTGAAAGCAATACACATTCATTAGAAACTCTACTTCCAGTACCCATACAATGATTCTGTTTTTACTTTTAGTATGGTATTCAATAAAGTACATCAGATATTCAATACTTTATTATAAAATAGCCTCTGTGTTAGATGATCTTGCCCAATGTTAGGCTAATATAAGTGTTTTGAGCACATTTCAGTTAGGCTAGGCTAGGCTGTGATGTTGGTTTGGTTAGGTGTATTAAATGCATTTTTGACTTACCATATTTTCAACATATGGTGGAGTTTATCAGGATTCAACCTCATCATAAGCCAAAGATCATCTGTGGTTACTTTACAGTAGTTCCTGCCTGTTCAATTGTTATTTAGGTGAAGGGACAGATTCCTAGAGCTTCCTATTCTGTGATCTTCCATGATGTCCCTCCCCTAAGAGTTGACTTTCTTATCTGCCCTGGTCACCTCTTCCAGACTGATAAATCTTCATTTCAATAAGGTCAAGATCTTGGGGTAAATTCTTTACGGGACAGTTGGCTCCACATTGTTCAAAGCCACAGATTTTACTACCGATCCTGATTTTTAATTGCACAAATGTGATATGACACACTTATGTCATTAAAAAATAAATCTCGAATGCGATTGTAGAGATAATTAAATTTTACTTGCTTCTGAATTCTGTATAGATCTAAATTAGGCAGAAACTTTTTGCATATGATCTATTTACGTTTTAGAGCTACGAATGACCCATTTAAAATATTTTTTCAATGATAAATCAGTGAAACAATGTCTTAGGAACATTTTTATCTGTTCTGTTCTGTAACCAACATTTTTTTGTCAGTTAAGCATTAGCTTAATGAAAAAGAAACATTGGTCCTCTGTCCTACATTTTCACCATCGTTTTCCTTTTGTCAGAATAAGCTTAAATTTAGAACGTTAAAGAAAAGCAGTAAGAAAACTACGAGGGCTTTCTGGATAGTATCCAGCCCTGTAACTGTTCTCGTTATATTAACAATGGCTGGATACTTTCCGGACAGCCCTCATATATCACATTTTTTATTAGGAAACTAAGTTTATAAACTTTATCACAAAGATGGTGAATGTTGGCGC